CACCTGGCTTCACTGGGTCGTTTCCTCCTGGTACCCAGTGGAGCCTCCGCCGGCCAGTCTACGGTCTCCGCCAGGCGCCACGCGAGTGGCACGACACACTGAGGACTACACTTGCGGCTCTTGGGTTCGCGCCGTCTACTGCTGACCCGTCGCTGTTTCTGCGCACAGACACGTCGCTGCCGCCGTTCTACATTCTCGTGTACGTCGACGACTTGGTCTTTGCTACTGCTGACACTGAGGCACTCGCTCGTGTGAAGTCGGAGCTGCAGAAGAGACACATCTGCACTGACCTGGGTGAGCTGCGTAGCTACCTTGGCTTGCAGATCACCCGGGACAGAGCTCGCCGCACCATCACCCTGACTCAGTCACACATGGTGCAGCAGGTCCTTCAGCGCTTCGGCTTCCAGTTCTCCTCACCACAGGCCACACCTCTGGCTACCAGCCACTCGCTCTCAGCTCCACCTCCGGACGAGTCCGTAGAGCCGAGTGGCCCGTACCCAGAGCTTGTGGGCTGCCTCATGTACTTGATGACTTGCACGCGACCTGACCTCGCGTACCCTCTTAGCATCCTTGCTCGTTACGTTGCGCCTGGGAGACACAGGCGAGAGCACTGGGAGGCTGCTAAGAGGGTGCTGCGCTACTTGTGCAGTACATCAGGCATGGGGCTGGTGCTTGGAGGACGCGACAGAGTTGTCCTCACTGGCCACTCGGACGCTTCTTGGGTGGACGACCTGGCTACGCAGCGGTCGTCACAGGGTTACACCTTCAGCCTTGGCTCTGGTTCTGTCTCGTGGCGGTCCACCCGCTCTTCCTCTGTTCTCGGCTCTAGTTGTGAGGCTGAGATCTACGCCACAGCCATGGCTGCACAGGAGTTACGCTGGCTCACCTACCTGCTGACTGACTTGGGAGAGCGGCCTAGTTCTCCTCCAGTTCTGTACGGTGACAACAAGGCGGCTCTTGCCTTGTGTCAGGAGCACAGACTGGAGCACAGGACGAAGCACATTGCTCTTCGCTACTTTCTTGCTCGAGAGCTTCAGCAGCGCGGTCAGCTTCGGCTTGTGTACGTGGACTCGAAGGCCAACACTGCTGATATCTTCACCAAGGCGCTCCCGCCTAGTGATCATCAGCGGCACTGTACTTCTTTAGGCCTTGTGTCCACGTTTCCTCACTTGCTCACTGCTTGACATTCTTTGTACTGTACTTTATATATATCTTGTTGCTTGCTTGCTAGGTTTTGATCACTGTGTTGCTTGTCTTGTACTATATCTAGCACTGCATGTGAACTGGCCTTGTGGCCTTTACTTGTGCTCGGAGTGTGGTGACGTTGTGATCCACCCTGGGCTTTGCTTTGCTTTGCTGGACTGGTCTTGTGACCCTTTGTTCTCCCCCACCTTGCCTATGGGGGTGTGTTAAACTGTATTATGCTTGTAGGCTGTAGTGGGGTAGCCAATATGGGGTACAACCCCAACTAGGGTTTCATATTTGTACCCAAACTTCTGCTAGTTCATTCATTCTTGCCTAGTTATTTTGAGAATATACACACCTGCCGGATAACTAGTCATATTCAAATGCGTATTTGACATACACGCGCATATGACTGGCCATAAACTAACGCGCACATGACTGGTCTCTTGACCAGATTTAGAGTTCGTTGTTACAGCGCAAGTGTAACGGTCCGAGACATGGACAGCTACAAGTGGTTATATGATTGTTGCTAAATAAAAGCCTAAAAGATTGATGCCGCGGTTAGCATTCTTGTATAAAATACATGAGACAGAAGGTGTAGCAAGAAATGCGAAACTCAATCAAAATTCAACCAACCCTAAAACCTTGGGAAAATTAGGGAGTATTGTTTGCATTCCATTACTGATGCAGTTTCGTTGCAAAATAATATATGCATATGTGGCTGTAGTGTGGATTGACCCTATCCAGGGTTTTGGGTTCTTGGGAAAATTAGGGAGTATTGTTTGCATTGCACAACGTCCTTATGTCTTGCTATCATTTTTGCCTCTTTAACATCAATTGAAGTACTGTCTCTCTAAAAAATGTTCATATGGATGGTAGAACTCTCCACATAACACATGCTTAGAAGGAACTAATTGATGTGTTACTATAGTGTGTGGGTTTCAAAAGAGGTTCACTAAACCATTTGCTAGCAATATAAAAGCATGTCGTTGTAGCGAATATGACCCCGACAGTACATCTACATCAACCCACCTATAATGTTACGTACATGTTGATGCCAAATAAAAAATAAAAAAATGTGAAATATCATGGGATCAATAGTCGTAACAAGAAGTTTAGGGTTCCTACCGTATGACAAGTAGGAGGTTAAAATGTTGCAATGCTCTCTTGAGACCAAGTTGTAGGCTGATTTTGAAGTACTGTATCATGTGTCGTATTGAATGAGAAATTTTGAGTATAAGAAAACTTTACGCTGAACAAAATTAATAGAGGAATGTCTTCCACAAAAAACTGAACATACGGTATGTAATTAACATTACAATTTGATGGTATGCCGGCCAAATAGCGAGTGCTAGCGCAATGTACCACAAATGCGTACTGTCCCATTTGTGACCGAGCAGAATACACACACAATTGACAGGCCATTACACACGTGCGTGTATATGACCGATCATAATGACCATATCGTAATATTGCATCCGTGTTTGCAATATGGCTGGGTTTATTGCATGGGAAATTCGACCGATCATATACAGGTAGCATCCGATTGGTCCATGCTCACTCGGATATAAGCGGCTGTATCACACACTCGGATTTTGAATTGCGCGTTTCACCTGTGAACATTTCGGAAAGTTCGGGTTTACAGTTACATTAAAAAAATGCATTCGTAGTAAGCAAAGATCGCATGCGAAGTTGAGTTACATTCAATTCGATTGCATGTTACAAAAAAATTCGGGTGAGGTTTGGCTACCCTAAACAACGACGCGCTTTATCCATGTCATTCTCTGGTCAATCATATTCCTCTCGCTAAGTCACACAGCACACCATCTTAGGGTTCGCGCGATAAATTAGGCACGACACTAGAAGGGAAGGTCTTAGTCCGATAGAAGCCACGACCCCGAACTTACGTGATGGTAGAGAGGCAGGCGCATCATAAAAACGTGGCTATGTTAGGTCGAGCTGCTCGTGGTAGGAAGGTGGCGAAGAACACCCGTGATGACACACCTGCGGGGACATTGCCGTGAAAACCTGAACACGTCTGACATCCCGATGTAGACTCAGGCGAAGATGACGGGCTTCGTTACAGCGATAGGTTGAAGTTGGCGCATGCACACGCATCATCTACTAAGGATCAGTGCGCCACGCCGGTGGTCTTGAAAAAGGCAGCCCTGTACGATTATGGCGTGGAGCAGGCGTTTGAGACGCCTTTGGTCGAATCTCCGCCCGACGACCTCATTGCAAAAATTATCGGACATACTAAAAACTCTCTCCTAAATACTCATGAGAAGTCTAGAGCTACCGCGGGCAAGTTTACGCATCCTTTTTTCCCACCAATGCGATTTGCGATCATCATGGAATGACAGTTATCATCACGATGGCTGGCGCTCTGCACATTACCGATAATCAGCCGATCACGCAGTCTCTCAACGACTTTCATAACATGTGAGCGCCATACCACGGACATGTTGAATCATTTGTTGAACCCCTGTGTCTTGATTCTCGCCTTTATGACTCTCCTCGTTGTGCTATACGTATTGCCTGTATCACCGCAGAGTGCTCAACATTCGCCGGCCCAAGTTGAGCAACGGTAAGACATGTCTCGCGTTGGACAGTCAGAGCTATGACTACTTCTATGGGGCAAGATCGCCAGAGGTGACACCGGACTATCCATCTTCAGCTACGACTGTCTAGCCATGTCAATATTTGCCGGGTATGTGTCATGATAACGTATCGCTAGTACACGATACACGCTTATGGCTTCTTTAATTGTTTTGCCTAATCTGTTACACAAGTTGTGTAATGTATGAACGATAAAGTTTCATTTCAGCGTGATGATTGTGGTCAATCCTGGAGTTGTGACTCTTCCGGTCGACGAGGACATCGCCACCCATCCTGCGTGGTTGCTGCTGTACGACTCTCTCGGGATGCATGCTGTCGGGGGCAATGCATTCAAGAACATCACCAAGTAAGTGTCCACTAGTGGTTGCGTACACCCATTCCTTAAACCCAAGCAGTCAACCATCACAGTGCATGCTTCTGTTTCATTCATTCATTCAAACCATACTCCGTCTTTTTGCTTAATAAACACGCCCCCCCCAACAACTTGCTAGGCATGACCTTCGATTAGGAGCATGGCAAATGCACAATAGAAGAGATGAAAGCGATGTTGGGAGATTCAAGCCGCACATCATGGAGGTGTGTAGACCAGAAGTCCGCTCATGTACAACGCTACAAGTTGTCGTTATGCTTGTTCAGCCATGCTATTATTGCACCCTCAAAATCCTGGTGCAACCAGGCGCATGGTGCACCGTTATGCATGATGCTGCTCTCGTGTGTATGGTGCCCCCGTGCTGAGTATTGCCATCTTTCTGTGCATGTTGCGTTCCCGTGCAGGCTGTTGTACTCTGCACTGTGCGCCCGTGACATAGTACATTCTACAAACCACTTTAAACAAATGATGATTGTTTACACTCCCATCTATTATTCTTTACTCTGCATGTGCCTTTGGTGTATGGCAGGCGTGGCATGCTGCCTCTGCAGACGAACGATTTTGACTTCGGCATCTTCGTATAACAGTACATTCATGCGCATGTGGAGGCGTGCTTCGAAGGTGCAGAGAACGGGGTGCGGTTCAGCATGAGCCCATTGGCATATCGACGTAGGTTACGGAAAATGTGTGTGCTCTTGCAGAAGGACGGCTGATCGGCGAGCTCACGGCAGCTGGCCATGAGATCCCTCCTGGAAATGAGATAAGAAAACCATCTGAGCCCGAGGTGATTGGTGATGAGGTGGAAAATAGGGAGTGGAGAGCGGAGATGGCAGCACGGATGCATAGGCTAGAGGTTCGCAATGAGAGTCAGGCAGTGGCTATTGCCAAGCTCAAGAGGCAATTGCGTGAGCTGCTGCTTTCCCGTACTCCACAGCATGGCGTTGACGGTGATGCTACAGGGGAGGAACATGGTCATGTGGGAGGGGACGGAGGACCTAGTGAACCTGCAAATGTGGAAGTCATGGGAGGGGACAATGCTGGCACTCATGATAGCATGAGAGGTGCACATGGTGAGGGTTCTGTGGCTGACGTTGACACACAGCCTAGTGGAAATGTCAATATGCGTGACGACAATGGGGAGGGTGCTATGGCTGACAGTGCGAGGAGTGACAATGAGAAGCTGGGGGTGCGTGATGAAGGTGCCGAAGGCTTGTTGGGTACTACGGATGGTAACCCTGGTTCTAGAGGGGCCGTGGGTACTGGGCATGGTGTGACAGCCTCGAACGTGGATGTGGATTTGGTGTCCGCACACAGCACAGGGACTGAGACGACGAGTCACAACACTACGCGTGGTCAAGCTCCTAGCTCACGTTATACTGGTATAAGCAAACGGGAAGGTCAGTGGGCGGTGCGTAGACAGCGCTAATGACAAGTTTTTTGCACTGGGATGGTACACAGAGATCTTGGATGTCACAAAAGCATGTGCAGCAGCCGCTCACATCTGCCGACCGTCCCTCTTCAGCTTTAAGATGGTGGAGTTAAGCGTGGAGAAGAGGAGGTGCTTGGGGGGTCTGATTCGCAAGAGGTTGAGAGGATTGTGGATGCCAAGCGGTGGGCAGAGTGGAGGAACTGGCGTAAAGTGCTCAGCAGCCTGCCTGAGCCTACCACCCTAGCGCCAGCAGGAGTTCACACACGGCCTCCATTCCCTTTTCCCACCAGCACCCTGGAGCCACGTTTGGCAAGTACCATCCGCCAGCCGCCTCCTTCGCGGGACACGCCGGTGCAACCCTGAACCCTGGTGGATGGCAGCCGTACACTGAGAGCCACCCTCCTCTGAACATCCATTTTCCATCCCAGCAGTCTGCATTGAAGCAAATCCCTATCCATCCATTCAGCTAGGTGCAAGCCCCTATCTCCGTTCACCCGGACCTTTCAGTACCCATTGCTCCCAACCCTACAGGCCATGCTGCAACACAGAACACAACACCCCCATCCGCATGTCCTACCCACACCACCAGCCGTTGCACCCAGCACGATACATCCAATAACTGACCCACAAGCCCAACAAGTTCCGCCCTCTGAGCAAACTGCTCAGGCCAGAGTAGTTGGCATGATAGATTCTCAGCACAGCTTGAGCATGTCGACTGCACCCAACAATCCCAACCCCCCATCTCACGGCTCCGCACTGGCAAGCGAGCCAACAACAGGTGAGATGTGTGGTTGTGTCATAATAGTGCTTATCCATAGGCCGTAATTTTTCTAACCTTGCATTACTCTTTAACATTTGTTTCATGACCGTCGGCAGGTGCGGCGGACGACATAATCGATGCATTTCTTGGTCAAGCAACATAGTAAATGCAGTGACATTTGGTGAACATGAAATTGCGTGATCCGTAAACATAAAATTGTCCTTATTAAACCATTGTAGACAGGGGGAAGATCTTGACATAACAATAGATACAAAAGCTAAGCGTTATAACCCTTTGCCTCTGACTGTTGCATGAAAGGTACTCACGGTGTTATATAGAGATAAGGCAAAACATAACTGAGGAAAGTAGCTATGACGAGCCAAATGTACTCCGGGAGAATATCTCCATGGAATTTAAGAAGAGGTTATATATGCACCCTAGGCACACACACTTGATCATCACATATGCGCGCTCATATACGTCTTATTGCACTGTCTTGTATATGATTGAGACTTTATATGACCGTATATGATTGGACGCGCAATGTAAAAATATGTTCTGCGAATAACGCTGACCAATCACGCGCGGTCATTTAATTTCGCGTGCGTTGACGGCCGTGAATTTCAGTAATGGTCGGGAATCCAACCAGGCGCCTGATTGGACGCGCAACGCCAACAATTGCACTGCGCATATTGTTGACGAATCACGGACGGTCGTTAGGGCTGTTGCGATTTGATGCTGGTCAATTGAAGTTTACGACCGCGGTTCTATATGCTCGAGCGCTTATTGGTTACAAATTTGTTTGACCGCGCGCTCATTGGTCGCGCATTGGGCCGAAAATGAGCGCGTGTCTACTGTTGGCCGTGACCACTTGTCAGATTTCTGTACAGTGGGTGGGCCACGTTCGCGCCCGCCACCAGAGCCTCAGATTCGTTTTGGGGTAGGCTGACTGGTCACCCTTAGGAGTGTGTTCATGGCTGATCTGTCAGCGTTGTTGTTAAAAAATATATGTATATATATATATATACATATAAAACTGAATTTTCAGGGTGTCTATGACTAAAAAGGCTCAACGATCGGCGTCACAATGCGGTAAAGACTGGACCATTTCAAACAGACAAGACACATAAATAACAAGTTCTGCATTGATATAACAAGTGTTTACAGGAAAACTAATTAAACATATCATCATCCTCATGATCCTCTTCACTATCACTAGAGCCTAAAGCATCTACAGCATGGGGGCCATCTACTTCCATAGCTGTTGCTTTCCCCTTCTTGTTGGTTTCACCTTGGGTGGAAATTGAGGCATTCAAAAATGACTTCCTCTTCTTGAAGCTTCTGTAGATCTCGACCACCTCGTCATACTGAGGCACGTACGGCATCAGAGACATGCACATCAAGTCACCCAGCCTTGCATCTTTGAGGTTACTCCGCAGCCTTGGCTTGATCACGTTTTGGCGAGAGAAGCCCCTTTCACACTCCACTGTGCTAAGGGGAATCACCACCATGGCTACCCACAACTGCACGAGGTTGGGGTAGCTCTCCCGCCAATCAGGGGTCTTCAAAACCGCGGTGAGACCATCGTGGAAAGACCTCTCCCCTTTCGGTGCAGCGGCACGGACGGAGCAGAATAACAAAAGCTCTTTGTGGGCCTGCCGCTTGTTGATTCTTGGCAGGGCCACAACACAAGTGATTGGGGAGGAACACAATGCAAGACGGGGTTTAAGGTTGACTGTGGCAATCGGGAGGGAGGTGGATTGGCGGTAGAGCGCACGAGAAACAATAGCATGGCAGTGAAACAAATGAAAACCAAAACATAACTCCACCTGGCAGTATCTCTTCTGCCTCTTGTGCCTTGAACAACATCACCAGCGACTGCAGCCACTCACCGCATCGTGCATGACGCTCTGACTTGCGTTTGGCCACTCATCCGGCAGGAACAGTCAAACACCATACAAAGAATCCAAGACACTCAGCCTCCTTTCCAGGTTCGCCATGATGCGTTCGGCGAAGTCGGTGCAGACCGCAACGCAGGCGTCGTGATCACAGGGGCCTTCGTAGCCTTTGTCTTTAATTTCATGGAGCTTGAACTTGAATGTTGTTGGTTGGCCATCAGAGTCGGGCCCCTCCACAGTCACTTCGTGGTCCTTTCCTGGGCCGTATCGCTCGATAAAAGGCGAAAGGCAGCGGCTCAAGCCTCCGCTGAAGTCGTCCCCACAGTCAACATATCGGCTCTCGATATGTGACGTGGTGCGCTTGATCTGATCGTGCAGAGAGACAAGGTCCAGCTGCAAGCATCAGACAGAAAAGGAAGACAAATGTCAGCCGGGTTAACCAACAAGAAAGAAAATACGGTAACATGGAAAAACGCACATACAAACCATTACCTGGCGCTGCTGGATAGTCTTGTTCAGGACATTGAACTGCTCAAGCACATCAGCAAGAAAATACATGAAGAAGTGGAACCGGTACGAAGTGGCGAGCAAATACATGGCGGAATGGAACTCTTCTAGGAAAACGATGACAGCAGGCCACACTGCCAGGATGCGAAGTAACGCATCCCCCCAAGAGAGCCACCCGACTTGATGTATGCTCTAGACTTCCAAGCTGGTCTCGGTGAAGAGCTCTTGGAGGTCCATGAAGCGCTGGTGCTTCGGGCCGGGCCGCCGTAGGAGGTCCGAGACGGCGCGGACGAGGTCGTCTACCGGGCCTCCCTGCATTTAATGCTATTAAAAAAAAAAAAACAAACAAACAAACAAAAAAAGTATTCCGCACAGAAGAAAAAAGGATTTTGCGAAATCAACACAGTACGGCACTAACCTGTGGGCGATGCAGTGACACGAGACGAGGTGGGGTATCCGCTCTCGAAGGCGAACCACCAATCCAGCATGATTCCCCATCATTACCAATGCACCGTCGGTGCTAATGCCCGAAATCCTCCGCAGGTCGACACCGGCGGCCTGCAGGTGAGACAGCAGAAGATTCAACAGGGTGGAGGCGTCAGCTTTCTCAACGGTGATCAGTTGCATGAACTTTGTCACCTCGACGGATTTCGGAACGAAGGTGCTTCCCCCTGACGTGATCTGTGTTTTCGTCGATGTCGATGCCGATGAAGGGGCTTCCAGGAACAGTTATTACTAATCACGTGGTATAGTACGCCCCATAGCCTTTCTTAGGAAAACCTTGAACCCCCTTCCGCGCAAGATACTGCACCAGCTTCACCCATGTCCCCATGGGTGCGTCGCAATCGCTGACAAACAGAAGCGCGTCAAACGGTGACGTGACCCGAATCTTCTCTGCGTCGACCGCTGCACGATGCTCGTCGATGCGGGGCTGATTAGACGCGGCAGCAAGCAAGGCCTCTTGCTTCTCCAGTGCCAGCTTGTGTTTTCTCGTCCCGGCGTGCTTGCGAAATGCCTGCGTCTGGACGTCGGTCGCACCTTTGCCTGTCCTGCCACAACGTCCCCTGACACAGGCGTGCTTAGTGCAATGACTGCATTTGAAAGTGGGCAGACTACGAATAGTTTTACTAAGTACAAGCCAAGGGAAATGCTCAAGCCACTTATTTGTACTTATCCAGTGCCTCGGCATAGATGACATCAACAATCTCCTGAAGGTTGATGTTCAGAGCAGGGCACACGGTGGTTTCGTTGACAACAGCTTCCGAGACTGGGACATTGGATGATGACTTCCAGAAACTCAGCTTTTGTTGCTTGAGCTTGATTGTGCGCGTTGCTGACAACTTCGACGCCGACGTGCCGATGTGAACGGTGTCGGAAACACCGGGCGCGCAGGAGGGACAACCCGGATAGAATCCGGGCTTGAAGGCACGTCCGGGTTCTCAGGCACCATAGGAACTCGACCGAGTGCAGTGGGCTGGAGGTGACATTTGGCGGCCTAAAGATCTAAGAAGAAGATCTAGCCCCGTACGGGCTTCTTCGATGGCGTCGCTATCGGCGTCACCCCCGTCGTCTGAAAGGCCGGCGCCATGGCCAGCCATGGCGGAACAGAGATAAGAGCAAGCCGAGCACTGAGAGAGCGTGCCGAGCACTGAGAGAGCGTGCCGAGCACTGAGAGAGCTTGCCGAGAATTGCCTGGTGCTAGAGGCGAATGAAGTGAAACCCTAGCGTGGTTGGGTGTGGGGTGGGAGACTCCAGCAGCTACCTGGGGTTATGCTAGAAGGAGCTGGTGATGGTGAAGCGGGCTTGGTTGGCAAGCTTACCGTGCCATGATGCAAGGAGATGCGACCCTCAGAATCATGGTATTTGGTTGCAGCTTCGGGGTGGGTGAGGTGGGGGGGTTTCCTAGTCGCGCAGCAACCATTTTGTGTTGCTGTACTGCTGCAACGTGCGTGCGTGGAGCCGCGCTGTTCACTTTCCATTCGCCACAAATTGATGCGGTTGCCGAAACATCCAATCACGAGCGAAGTTACCTTCGCGAGAAGACAATAATAGAGTGAAAGTTCGGAGATGTTGTCATTCCCGAATGCTTTGGCAAGGAATCTTGCCATTTCGGCGTGTTTGATGGAGGGACGGTCGAACCGGTATACCTAGACATCCGAAATTCAGGGCACCCACGCGAATCTCCATTACAGAGATTTCAGCCCACCCCTTCGTTACAACTCTGATGAAACAGCGTACACGATAGGAAAAAAGCTGATATTTCAGCGCACACTGTTAAAAAAAAAAAAACCTGAAATTTCAGCGAGCACACTAAAAAAAGCTGCCAAAACAGCCCCACTATTCCACCACCACAACCTTTTTACCCCTAATCAGCCTTTTTCCGTTAAATTCTGATGGCCTGCCCGCCACCCATGTCAGAATATTATGCTCTAGCCTGCAGTGGGGTACTCTATAGCGAGTACAACCCAATTAGGGTTTCCTATATGTATGCCAACTGCTGCTAGTGCAAACCCTCCTTTCTTCATTCTTACTTTCTACAGCTAGTTCTGACATGCTATCAGAGCAGGTCGACCCTCCTGGGTCGATCCTATGGGTGGGCCCACCACCTAAGCCTTCCGCTGCTACTGCTACTGCTACTGCTACTCTGTGTGTCGCACGCCTCGTGGCGTGCGACGGATTTTTCATCCCGCCGTGCGCCCCGAGGTGTGCGGCGGTTTTCTGCCCGCCGTGCGCCCCGAGGCGCGCGGCGGTTCTCTGCCCGCCGTGCGCCCCGAGGCGCGCGGCGGTTTTCTCCCCCCGTCGCCCGCCGAAGCGCCCCCGGGGACCCGCGCGTCGCCCCCGTCGCCCGTGCGCGGCCCGTACTGCACGAGCGCGGCCCGTACAGGCTGCGCCAGGCCCGCGCGCGGCCTGTCCTGCACGCGCGCGGCCCGTACGGGCTGCGCCAGGCCCGCGCGCGGCCCGTACGGGCTGCGCCAGGCCCGCGCGCGGCCCGTACAACCCGCGCGCTGCTCGTACGGGCTGCGCCAGGCCCGCGCGCGGCCCGTACGGGCTGCGCCTGGCCCGCGCGCGCCTCGGGCCGCCTGCGCGCGGTTCGTACGGGCTGCGCCTGGCCCGCGGGCGCCCGGTCTCCTCTCCCACTGAGCTGCACGCCGTCCCTCGCGCTTCTGACGGCGCCCCACCCCTGCTGCTGCCCGTACTCCTGAATTAGGGTTTGGGGGTGGAGCGTATGGGGGTGCCGTCTCTGTCAGCCGTCCCCTGCTCCTCCTCCTCCGTCTCCCACTGCTGCAGCTGCTGCTCAGGGGGGTGGGTGTGTGGGAGCCGAGGGTTTAGGGTTTAAGGGGGGTGCCATGGGAGTGGAGCTAGGGTTTCAGCAGGGGGTGTGTGTTGGGGGGTGTGGGACAGTTGGAGGAGGTTGGGTGGAGGCAGCCGTCGTGTCGTCTGCAGCGCCTGTATTCCGGGGTTCTGATAGCCACCGGTAGCTCAGAGAGCCGGTTGCACCTGTCGCCCGTGGGTCCGTTGCTCCTGTCGCTGCTGATCAGACGCAGAGCCTGTTACTCCTGTATTCCGGGGCCCTTGCTCCCGGTAGCCACTAGAGTTGCACCAGAGCCGTCTGTTGCCCGTGTGTCTGCAGCTTCAGTCGTCGCCTCCACTCTTCTCTCCTCTCGCCAGCCCTCCTCCTCCTCACTTGCCCTCTGTAACTGCCTCTAGCTTTGCTCATAATTGTGCACTTTAAACTATTGCTTCTTAAACTTGTGCTCAGAATGTGTGGTGACATTGTGATCCACCCTGAGCTTGTACTGCTTTGCTTTCTCTGCTGATTACACCCCACTTTGGCTATGGGGGTGTGTCAGAATATTATGCTCTAGCCTGCAGTGGGGTACTCTATAGCGAGTACAACCCAATTAGGGTTTCCTATATGTATGCCAACTGCTGCTAGTGCAAACCCTCTCAAATTTCTTCATTCTTACTTTCTACAGCTAGTTCTGACAACCCACCCGAAATTTTTGGGTAAGGAATAGTACGAAATGCTACTGCGAGATGATACTCGTGCAAACGATGAATTTCAGGGATACAAACCCTTGTAGGGTAATGCGCCGGGTAAAAAAAGCCAGCGGGAATCCCCTTGCGTGGCCACTCGAGCAATTATCACTGAATTGGATAGCCACGCGAGCAATTCGAGGCCACGTGGGCAAGACCGAATCACCAAACAAGATTTTGGAGAAATTCTCTCAGTATATTTGCTAGGCTTCTCTTCGTTGTCGTTTGTTAAGAGTGATCTAGCTTCTATATTGACTTGTGTGCACTCATTACTCATACAGGCCATAACACGTTTGATTCAGTTTGATATTTTTCATCGGACAAACTACACCGACCCGACAAGATGTGAAAATAGCAAACGTGTTGAAATTGCGACACAATCACACGCGACGCGGTAAACTTTTTCCTCCGTTATCCCACACCCGCAAACGAAGCGCATGTTTTTCTCGAGCACAGACCTTTCTGCTTTTTCGCTAGGTAGCCCCTACCCACCTGCCTCGTCTCCACTGTCCCGAACCGACTCGACTCCCTAAAAGCTATTTCTCCTCCTCCCCCCACCTTCCATTCCCTCCCCTTTTTCAACCTTGCCCGCTGATTTCATTCACATGAATGAGTGATGTAGTGTTACCCACCATCCATTCCACGTGATCTCATCACGTCATCTTTCTCGCACGAGCGGAAAATCGTAGAGAGCACACGCGCCTCTTCGCAATGCCTCGTCGCAACAGATTCACGGGCCACATAGCGCGTGCCTTCCGCCGCGAGAGGCGGCCAGGTCGCGCGCCTCTGACGTTCGGGTTCCTGCCGCTGCTGTGCGTCTGCGCCTGCGCGCTATGCCCTTCCGCCGCGCCAGTCACATCGGCACCCGCGCAGGTTGACCCCGTTCAGCTCCCGCCTTCCCCGGTCGCTCATTCCTCGGTGCAGCCTGCCGCGGTGCGCCCGCGGGTGTCGTTTTCTCTGCTAAATAAAGTGTCGGCGGGCGCGCGATGCCTCGACGGCAGGTAAGGCAGGCTCGGCTGTAAGCCTCGGTTGGTAGCTCGGCTGTTAGCCTCGGCGGGTAGGCTCGGCAGTGGGGCAAGGCGAGCGTTGACGGGGAAGGCTCGCGGAGTGCATGTGCACGTGGTGCGCCCTGGTCGATCGCGCCCTGCTCAACCTGGTCCGCCGCCACGAGAACGGGTGGGGGGGAATGGGGGTGAGAGGGATGTGAAAGATGGGAAGGGAGAGAAGCGGGGAGCGATAGCGAAGGGCGTGGGAGCAGCGCGACGGTCTATGTGCGACACACGCGCACCCACCACCGCACTTGGCGCTCGCCCCATGTGGTCCTCGGGCCACTGCCCATTCGTGCTTCCATTCAGTCGCTTTAAGCCCCCACTTACCCTTCCCTCTTTCCCCTCTTTGCGCCTCCCTCCCTCCTGGCTTTGCGCCTCCCTCCCTCCTGCCTTTGCGCCTCCCTCCCTCCTGGCTTTGCGCCTCCCTCCTTCCTGGCTTTGCGCCTCCCTCCCTCCTGGCTTTGCGCCTCCCTCCCTCCCGTCTTCTCGCATGCGGTCCGACCGACAGCCCGCCAGGGTACTACTACCGGCGGGGCTACGGCACGGGGCAGCGCAACTGGCTCATCTTCCTGCCGGTGAGCGGCGCGCGTGGGGATCATGCGGGGACGGGGAAAGTGGTTGGGCTGGGGAATAGGGAGGCGCGGGGTATTCGCGCATGCGGGAACGCGGATGCGTGGGCATGCGCGCATGTGACGCGCTTGGGCGGGGCTTGTGGGCAAATGGGGGGTTGGAGAGGCGGGAGCATGTGCAATGGCACAGGGGAGCACGACAGGGAGTTGATTGCCGCGAATCACTGCGAACCAGCATGCTGCCGTCCCAACTCTACTGCTGCCCCACCCGCTACCATGCCTGCCATCCATCCCTCTCCTTCTCTCTCCCCGTCTCTCACCGCTCCCCACCCTCCCTCCCCCTTCCCCCTTTCTTTTCCCCACCCAGGGCGGCGCGTGGTGCTACTCGGTGCGCTCGTGTCGCAGGCGCGCGCTCACGCTGCTGGGGAGCTCCTCGCTGTGGCCGCACCCGTCGCACCCCGACTTCAACACTCAGGTGCGCCGCTCGCACTGTCGTTGCCGTCACACGCGCTGCTGACTCCGTGCAGCTTCCCACACCACCAGTGGCCCCGTGAAGGAAAGCGTCGCGGGGGGCATTGTGATTCGATTGTGTCGCTGTGTCACCCTCCCATGCAACCCTCCGGCCACCAGCGCTAGTCCACTGGGGCACAGCCGTGCGCCATGCTGCGCGGCGGCAGCGCGGGAGTGATAGCCATCCGCTTGCCCTTCCATCCACTTGTGCCCCTCTACAGTGCGGCTGATGGGATACGGCATGGACGGCATGCCGCACGCACGGCGGCAGCGCAGGTAGTGATGCCATCCCCTTTCCCTCCCACCCATTGCGTGTCTCCTTTGCGGCGGCAGCTGAAGCGGCTGACGGGGTACGGCATGGACGGCATGCTGCACGGCAGCGCGGCCGTCAACCCGCGCTTCTTCAACTGGCACGTCGTGCTCATCGCCTACTGCGACGGCGCCGCCTTCTCCGGCACGCGTGGCCGCTTCAACGCCTCCCGCTCTGCCACGCTCGTGGCGGGCGGCAGAAGCATCCTCAAGTCCGTCATCCGCCGTGAGTGCTTCACACCTCTCGCCCCGCACTGCCACGCCGTGAGTGCGCCTCACGCCCCCACTGCCACGCCCGGCATGATAGACGCTCACCCCTGCTGCCCGCGTGGCTGCCCTATAACCCGCGTCCCTCCCTCATGGCCATGACCAGCATTTAGTACCCATATGCCATGCACCACCCGTTCCATTCATCTCCCAGCAACCCACGTGACCAACAGCAGTCCTGCGCTGCACTTCTTCCTTCACCGTTAGTGCCCCACACCCATCAACTGTTGTGCACCGGGCAGGCAGCACTGCAGGGAGGCCACGCGCCCCATCAGCACTCGCTCATTCCCCCCATCACAGCTTGCTCGCCATTCCTTCTCACTCCCCCTCCCCTCTCCCGCCCTCGTCCTGCAGATATGCGGGTGGCGCGGGGGATGCAGGGCGCGCAGCGGGTGGTGGTGGCGGGGTGCTCGGCGGGCGCGCAGGCGGTGGCCATGCAGTGCGACACGCTCGCCCGCCTGCTGCCCACCGCCGCCGCCAAGCGCTGCCTCATGGACGGCGGCTTCTTCCCCGGTGCGCCCAGCTGGGGGGGTGCAGGGGTTGTGCAGGGGGTGCAGGGGGTGCAGAGGGGGGGGGAGAGGTTGTGCAGGGGTCGCCAAGCGCTGCGTCATGGACGGCGGCTTCTTCCCCGGTGCGCCCAGCTGGGGGGGTGCAGGGGGTGCAGGGGGTGCAGGGGTTGCAGGGGTTGCAGAGGGGGGGGGGGGTGGTGCAGGGGTCGCCAAGCGCTGCATCATGGACGGCGGTTTCTTCCCGGGTGCGCCCAGCTGCTCGCCCTGCCCGCCCTGGATGCAGGGTCTCGGGGAAGGGAAAGGGGGAGAGAAGGGGGAGGGGGTGCAGAACGTAGCGGGGGGTTGTGCGTCCAGACTGTGCCACAGCTTTTATGAAATAGGGGAGTGATTGGGGGGCAGAAGTGAGGAGATATGCGTGCACGCACCCGCCACACATTTCCCCCAACTGGCTGGCTGGCAACAACCCCGTCCTCCCACACCCAGACATGCGGGATGTGAGCGGCACGTTCTTCATGCGGCAACAACCTCCCCCACCCCCTGCTCCCCCCCCTCACAGACATGAGGGATGTGAGTGGCACGTTCTTCATGCGCAAGGTGGCGCAGCGCCTCGTGGCCATCCACAAGTTGATGCGATGGGGCAGAATTGGCGAATATACGTGCACTCACCCACCACACGTTTCCCCCCATGGGCTGGCTGGCAACACCCTTCTCAAACCCCCCCCTCCCTCTCTCCCCTCACAGACATGCGGGATGTGAGTGGCACGTTCTTCATGCGCAAGGTGGCACAGCGCCTCGTGGCCATCCACAACATCTCCGCTGACCCCGCCTGCCTTAGAGGTCAGCCCGTCTGCCGCCCCTTGCACCTGCCGCCCCTTGCACCTGCCGCCCCTTGCACCTGCCGCCCCTTGCATCCCCTACTGCCCCTTGCATCCCCTGCCGCCCCTTGCATGCCCTGCCGCCCCTTGCATGCCCTGCCGCCCCTTGCATCCCCTGCCGCCCCTTGCATGCCCTTCTGCCCCTTAAATTCCATGTTGCCCCTCGCATGCCATGCCATGCCGCCCCTCGTATGCCATGCCGCCCCTCGCATGCTCTGCCGCCCCTTGCATGCTCTGCCGCCCTCTGCATGGTGGTTGTGGTCTGTCTTCAAGCTGCCATCCATATGCTTGGCCCCCATCCTCTCCCTCAACCCTCCTGCCCCTACCCACTCTCCACCTACCTGTGTGCAGGAGAGGGCCCTGACGGGCGGTGGAAGTGCTTTTTCCCCGAGCACGGGCTGAGGTACGTGACAACGCCGCTGCTGCTGGTCAACTCGGTCAACGACGCCGACGCCATCAACCTGCTCAACCTGCACTCCCCCACGCGCCGCCGCCTGCGCCGCTGCCTCGCCAGCCTGGCGGGCGGCGGCAGCATTAAGCAGTGCGCCAAGGAGGACGTGGGCATGGCGCTGGCATATGCTGTCCGCGTGGCAGGGCTGGCGAGGCAGGTGGCGCAGCAGAACGCGGCGGTGAAGCCGTTTCTGTACCGCGAGCGCATGCACTGCGCCACGCTGGTGAACCGGTGGAGTACGGTGCAAGGGGATGGGGGCGCGCTGAGAGATGTGCTGGGGTCTTGGGCCTTGAGATGATGCTTGTGTGATTGTGGTCCAGTTCACGGGCTATGGCTGCTCAAAATGCAGTTCCCACCCATTCACTTATACATGGCAAGGTCCTCATGGGTCACAGTGGCGTGGTGGCCCCCTGCTGGCCCACTTCAGAACAAGTGAAGGCCCGACACTTGGGACCAACGTGTACATTATTTGGCGGAGTTTAGGGGTTTGACTAAAATGGCTCACCACGGTGGCCCAATCTGGGTGATCCACAAAAGCCAGGGTCCCATTCCATGTACTAATATCCTGCTACAATCGCAAAACGTTTGTTGAGTGGGTTGGTTACCCCAATTGTGCTCGCGAAGTGCCAACTGGTTGGGAATTGCGCCTTGTGAAACACACCTTCCCCCGAAGCAAATGGTAAAACGTTTTAGCCACGGTCCACATTCGGAAAATGGAGATTGTGGCTGTGCTTTCAATTTGAGACCCTAGCAACAGAAGATATAAAGTGGAAGTATGGTTAAGGCACAACTATCATTTGTTCTTTTATTTAGGCAGTGAGCATGGGAGGAGCACGACGGTCGATACCAATACCGAACTTGTTTCAATCGCGCAATCATCAATGTCAATTTCAATTTCCGTCGCCTGCATGCCACACGCCATCCGTTCTTGCCTCCACTCTCCTGATCTGCCCGCCATGGCTCCTCCCAATCCACCTCCGATCTTCACCTCTCGCGTTAGACGGTTGTCGCGTCATCCTCTCCTGCTTTCCCTCGCGGCTCTTCTCGCCCTTAATCTCCTCGCCGTCGCAGCCGCCGCGTCCGACCGACTGTACCTCGCGCACGAGGCGCGCCTCGCCGCTGCGAGCGATGCGGAAGCCGCCACGAACCGATTCGCGGCGGGAGCGAGCGGACGGGGCGAGCTGTGGTTCGAGCAGACGCTGGATCACTTCAATCCCGCCGTACGTTTTGGCGGGCAGACGCTGAAGGAGGGTGGTAGAGCAGAAGGAGTTAGTTTGCCATACTATCTCTCATGATATGTATGCCGTCTTACATATATGCAGTCTCTTATATGACATACCATCTCGTATAGCTTACAATGCCATCTCACATGACACGTGGCAATCCATGTTGGGGTGCATGCTTCTGCATGCCACGTGGCAGGACGGGCGCACCTTCCGGCAGCGGTACCACGAGGACTTGACGCACTTCAACGCCGCTGCGGGCGGCCCCGTGCTGCTCGCCATCTGCGGCGAGGCCCCCTGCAACGGCGTGCCCTCCGACTACCGCATGGTGCAGCGCACTCCCTCGAGCTCCCGCCTTCTCCCTGTCACACTCGCATCAATTCCTCCCTCTCCAGTCCCTCTTACCTCGTCACTCTTTTCCCTCTCGCGCCCGGGTATCCCCTCGTCCCACTTCATGCCCACCCACCTGGTTCGTCGTCGTCCCAGCCCCACGGTCTCACCACCCTCCATGTGTCATCCACGTGCCATCTCACCCGCCTCTCGCCTCGCAGGAGTTGGCCGCGCATTTCGGGGCGGCCGTGGTGGCGTTGGAGCATCGCTTCTACGGCCAATCGCAGCCCTTCGCTGACCTGTCCACTGCCAGCCTGGCATATCTCTCGGCCAATCAGGCACTGGCTGACCTGGCCACGTTCCGGCAGTTCTACCAGGTTCGTAAGGGTGTGACGACCAGAATCACTTGTTCTAATTTGTTCCTTTGCTGCTCTTGCTTCACCCTCTCTCATACTCGCTATTCACTTGTTTTCTTCTCTTCGTTCTTTTTTGTCCATCCCTCATTGCCTGTCTCCGCTCCATGCCCGCAGCAAAAGTTGGACCGGCTGTTCAACGGGTCTCACAACGGCGCCACGCGTGGCGGCGGCAGCAGCAGCAATGGGGCCTCGGAGCGGCAGTGGGTGGTGACGGGGGTGTCGTACGCGGGTGCTCTGAGTGCATGGGCGCGGCTGTCCTACCCGCACCTCTTCCGCGCCAGCCTTGCCTCCTCCGCTGTCATCAACGTGATCAAGGACTTCCATGAGTTCGAGGCACAGGTGAGGGGCGGGTGAGGGGCGGGTGAGGGGCGGGTGAGGGGCGGGTGAGGGGCGGGTGAGGGGCGGGTGAGGGGCGGGTGAGGGGCGGGTGAGGGGCGGGTGAGGGGCGGGTGAGGGGCGGGTGAGGGTTGGGTGAGGGGCGGGTGAGGGGCGGGTGTTGTTGCAAGCATATGCATTCCCCACGCTGTCGTGATAGGCTGGTTGAGCGTTTCTTGTGTGCTGGATGTGTTCCCGCTGAATGCAAACTCCTTTCTTCCTTCTGACGTACTTTGCTTTCACCCTTCCCGCCCCTCCCCGACCCCGCGGCCACCAGGTGGTGCAGTCAGCGGGCCCGCAGTGCAGCGCCATCCTGGCCAACATCACCCGCCGTGTAGAGCACCGCCTCGCCTCGTCTCCGGAGGACCGTCAGGCTGTCAAGCAGCTCTTTGCTGCTGCCTCGGTGCGTCCTCTCTCTGCCCTCACTGGCACTCTCGTGCCACTCTCTATGTGCTCTCTCAGTGTGCCTTGAAGTTTCAACTCTTTTTCTACTCCCATGTCCTCTTCCACCTCTTCGTCCTTGTAGCTGCCAATATAGTGGTTACCAGATCGTAGCAAGACGTCGAGATGGCCGAGTTGGTCTAAGGCGCTGGATTAAGGTTCCAGTCCGAAAGGGCGTGGGTTCAAATCCCACTCTCGACAAATTTTCCTTTTTACTTTGCACGTGCGCCTTTTGATGCGAGTTTTTGTTGGGTGAGGAGAGATGGATAGCATACATTGCACTGCACACTCTCTGCACTTTGCTCCCTTGCCTCTCGTCCTCCTCGCCTGCAAGCCTGTCTCTCAGAGCATGACTGCACCCTCCACGCCTCTCCCCATGTTGACTCTCTGTTTGCCCAACCTCTCCATGTGCGCCCTGCCCGCCCTGACCATTGCGTGCTGCCAGGTGGAGCACGATGGGGACTTCCTCTTCCTCCTCGCAGATGCGGCTGTCTTTGCGGTGAGCCACACGTGCACCCATACCAGCAAGCCTAGCTGCATGCTGCTGCATGCGAGCTGCACTTAAATACCTGTTATGAGTTGTGTACCACTTGACTTGCCTTTTATGTAATCTGTTTCTGGCCTTCACGTGACTTCTCGTTCTCCACCTCCCCCCTGCACTCACTTTACTCCACCAATTCCATCACAGCATTACCTTCTTTCTCCCTTCGCTCCCTGATTCGCCGCTTGTGTATTTCCATCCAATTTCTCTTCCCGTCACACCGGCGCCTCTCTCTTCAGTTTCAGTATGGCCGCCCGGACCAGCTGTGTGACCCCCTCATCCACGCTCATGCCACGGGCTCTGATACCATGGTATGCTGGGATGTGATGCCATGGTATGCTGGGATGTGATGCCATGGTATGCTGGGATGTGATGCCATGGTATGCTGGGATGCGATGCCATGGTATGCTGGGATGGGATGCCATGGTATGCTGGGATGGGATGCCATGGTACGCTGGGATGTGATGCCATGGTATGTTGGGATGGGAGCCATGGTATGCTGGGATGTGATGCCATGGTATGCTGGGATGTGATGCCATGGTATGTTGGGATGTGATGCCATGGTATGCTGGGATGTGATGCCATGGTATGCTGGGATGTGATGCCATGGTCTGCTGGGATGTGATGCCATGGTATGCTGGGATGTGATGCCATGGTATGCTGGGATGTGATGCAATGGTATGTTGGGATGTGATGCCATGGTATGCTGGGATGGGATGCCATGGTACGCTGGGATGTGATGCCATGGTATGTTGGGATGGGAGCCATGGTATGCTGGGATGTGATGCCATGGTATGCTGGGATGTGATGCCATGGTATGTTGGGATGTGATGCCATGGTATGCTGGGATGTGATGCCATGGTATGCTGGGATGTGATGCCATGGTATGCTGGGATGTGATGCCATGGTATGCTGGGATGTGATGCCATGGTATGCTGGGATGCGATGCCATGGTATGCTGGGATGGGATGCCATGGTATGCTGGGATGGGATGCCATGGTACGCTGGGATGTGATGCCATGGTATGTTGGGATGGGAGCCATAGTATGCTGGGATGTGATGCCATGGTATGCTGGGATGTGATGCCATGGTATGTTGGGATGTGATGCCATGGTATGCTGGGATGTGATGCCATGGTATGCTGGGATGTGATGCCATGGTCTGCTGGGATGTGATGCCATGGTATGCTGGGATGTGATGCCATGGTATGCTGGGATGTGATGCAATGGTATGTTGGGATGTGATGCCATGGTATGCTGGGATGGGATGCCATGGTACGCTGGGATGTGATGCCATGGTATGTTGGGATGGGAGCCATGGTATGCTGGGATGTGATGCCATGGTATGCTGGGATGTGATGCCATGGTATGTTGGGATGTGATGCCATGGTATGCTGGGATGTGATGCCATGGTATGCTGGGATGTGATGCAATGGTATGCTGGGATGTGATGCAATGGTATGTTGGGATGTGATGCCATGGTCTTTCTCTGTGCTCACTGTTAAGCTGGAAGCTTGGTGCGTCGATCTATCTTTGTTCATTCTGACTTGCACCCATGTCTGAATGAAGCACTTTCACACGAGCAGATATGTGTATGACGACTGCTTGTGTCCCACCAGTGATTTTTTCCTCCCTGCACTCTCCCCTTTCCTCCCTTCTCCCTCCCTGCACCCATTGCGCCCATGGAATCAGGAGGCTTTTGCAACCTACGTGCGTGACCTTTTCCTTGATCACTTCGGAGCGGCCCCGTCTGACTACAACCGCCACGCCCTCGCCAACACGTCGCTCACAGCGCCCTCTGCCAGTCAGTCCGCTCCCCGTGCTGCTGCCTCTCCACACTTGCTGCTTGTCTTGCTCTCCAGCCCCGCTGGCCTCCCTCCTGCTACCCTGTGCTGCTGCCTGCTAGAATGTCAGGGTGTGGGGGGAAGGGGATGAATGCGCTGCATGCTCAGACCCACGCACAGCACAGCTAGCAGCACAGGTGTGGAGGGCATGCGAGCCATGCATGAAAGCGACTCACAGGATTCGTTGTGAGACACACATGGTTCACTCAATGTGCACGCGGTACCTGCTGCACGCGGTACCTGCTGTATTAACTGTACTTCATTTGCAACAGCGTGCCGGTTTTTGCTTTCATGGCTGCATAACGTTGTTGTTATCTCACTCATCCGTATCATGTGCATTAACCACAACCATTCTCCTTTGCTCCCTATTCCCCTTCCTCTTGCACGACCCACCCTCACATGCGCATCTTCTCACATGCTCACGCGGTGGTTGTATGCGTCGTGCAGACATGCGCACGTGGCTGTACCAGTGCTGCTCGCAGATGGCCTTCTTCCAAACGCCCGCCCGCATCGGTCCTCGCATTCGATCCGAGGCTTTGAACATGAGGTGCGGTTGGATGCGAGATGCATTGGTGTGACCAATACTGCTGCCACTGCCGCTGCTGTCATGTCACTACACCGCTCACCCTCCCATCAGGGCCACTGCCCACACACCTCGCCTCCTTCCTTGCCCGCCTGCCATCCGTTCGCCCCTGCCCTCCACAGCTACTGGCAGGGCCTGTGCACAGCAGTGTACGGGGACCACCCGCGTGCGCTCTTCCCCGATGTGGACGCCACCAACACCTTCTTTGGCGCCACCGCCATCGCCTGTCAGTCTCACACACCTTCACCGCACACTACTCCTGATGTTGGAGATGTTTGGGTGACTCAAGAATCACTTACAGCCATCATGTGCCAGTCGCAATAGGCACTCTCACCTCACACTCTGTACTCTCCTTCACTTGTTGTAACTCCTATGCGTAGGGCTCCACTCGTGTTTCTTTTCGTCTCACTTGTCCGTGCTTTGGCACGTGCATGTCCTTCCTCCCCTCCTCCCCCGTCTTTGTTACCCCCCCCCCCCCCCCCCCCCCCCCCCCCCCCCCAACCATCGCCCCAGCGTCGCGCATCTACTTCACCAACGGGTCGCAGGATCCCTGGAAGCGCGCCTCGCGACTTATTGGCACTGCTGCCAGTGAGTGGCTCATTTGCACCCTCATGCCACATGCCACATTCCACATGCCACATGTCACATGCCACATGCTCCATGCCTGCCTCATGGCCCATGCCCCATGCTCCATACCCATGGGCCATACCCATACCCCATGCCCCACTGCCCATGCCCCTGCACCCTGCATGGCCGCATGGCAGTGCCGAGCACGGTGGTGGAGTGTCACAACTGTGGGCATGGGGTGGACATGCGTGGCTGCCCCACCTGGCTCAACCACCACCACCCTCATGGTGCCCTTCTCTGCCCCTGCCACTCCTCTCCTCCCTCTCCTACTGCTCTTTTCTTGCTCCCACTCTATCCTTCGCTCTCTACCTGGCCCCATCTCGAACCTTCCTCTCCACCGTCCACCACCTTGTGTTGCGTGCACGCAAGCCCGAACCCACCCTGCGCCCCCGACTCCGCCAAGCAACTCTGTACATCCTCACTGCTGCTGCCTTCCCCTCTCCTTGCTCCTGTTCTCTTGTTCCCGTCCTCTGGCCCTGCTCCATTCTCAGGCGCCGACTCTTGCTCTGATCCAATGGCGTTGGCTCTTGTGAGGGGCCATCTCAGGGGAGCTCTAGCGGTGTGGCTGCGACCCACCCCAGTGCTGCCGAGTGCCTCTGCTGCCTCTGCTGCCCGCGCTGCCATGTGAAGCACTTCTCTCTAATGTGCTCACCACCGCCACCACTCGCAAGCATGAGCGGCGCAGATCCAGTGTTGCGCTTGAAACAGGCATCGTCTTATTTTGAACCGAACTCACTTTCGGTTGTGTACCTGCGTTGGTATCCTCTTGTACAGTTAATTTCCCATTGTGGTGATGAGGATATGCTTGTCAGAATGTTATATTGTCTAGTCTGCCGTGGGGTACTCTATAGCGAGTACAGCCCAATCTAGGGTTTGCTATTTGTACTCAACTGCCTGCTAGTTCAAACCCTCTTTCTGTTCCTAACTTCTGCCTAACTTGTTTCTGTCAAACATTGTATGTTCCTCCGCTGCCGCCCGTGCGCACCCGCAGCTGCCGCCGCACGCCCTCGCCTGCCGGCCCGCCGCTGCCGCCCGTGCGCACCCGCAGCCGCCGCCGCACGCCCTCGCTGCCGGCCCGCCGCTACTGACTGTCCGCACCTGCAGCCGCCACCGCACGCCGCTACTGCCGGCCTACCACCGCAGCCCGTGCGCCCCTGCGACTCCTGCTAGTGCGTCTTTACAGCTACAGCGGCCCTACTCTGTCTACTACTGCTGCTACTGCTACTATCGCTATGGCTAGCCCTCCCGTTCTAGCTTTCGACGCCGAGGGCCGTCCAGTGAAGTTCGAAACCTGGCTCGATGACCTGCACCTGTTCCTACAGCTCACGGCCAAGGAGGATATTTCTCTGTACGACCATGCTCTCGGCCACGCTACTGCCCCTCTTACTACTGCTCCCCCCACTGAGCGCTCACAGTGGCAGACCCGTGACGCGCACGCTCGCTTCGCCATACGCAACTCCCTGAGCGCGAGCACTTCGGCCAGTGCAAGACTGCTAAGGAACTGTACACCGCTGTCGTTGCCCGCTACTCCTCACCCGCTTCTGCCACGCTAGGCCGCCTCACTCTCCCCTACCTGTTCCCCGACCTGGCCTCCTTTCACACTGTCGCAGACCTCATCACCCACCTTAAGACTAGTGAGGCCCGCTTTCGCGCTGCCATGCCTGACGAGTTCCTCGCTAGCAACCCCCCCCGCTCTGGATCACTCTCTACCACATCGTCACTCGCCTCCCTGACTCTCTGCGCGCAGTCAGGGACCACTTCCTCTCTCGCTCCCCCACCGAGCTCACCGTAGCCCTCCTCGAGAAGGAACTGCTTGCAGCTGAGGCCAGTATCGTCGCTGTAGGCACCTCTCGTGGCGACCCTCGCGGCCCCTTCTTTGAGGGGTGTTCCCCTTCCCCCCTCCTCCCCTCTGTCGCCTCTACTGCTGCTGTCGACCTCCTTGGTGCTGAGAAGGTCGGGACTGCGTCTGCTTCGGGCGGGCGCCGCAGGAGCAAGGGGGGCAGGGGTGGGGGTGGCGGCGGAGGAGGCGGGGGTGGAGGTGGTGGCGGTGGAGGCGCGACTGGGGAGGCTAGTGGCGGCAGTGGGGGAGGTGACAGCAGCGGTGGGAGTGGTGGCAGGGGCGGAGGCGGCGGCGGAGGCGGAGGTGGTCGTGGCAGCGGCAGGGGTGGAGGTGGCCGGGGCGGAGGCGGAGGAGGTGGTGGTCGTGGAGGCACGGGCGGAGGCCAGAGTCAGCAGCCTGCCCCGACGCTTCAGGCCGCCCGTGAGTGGTATGCGCAGCGCGGCTTTACCTGCACGTACGTTATTCGCACAGGCGACCGCACTGGCCAGACGTGTGGGAGGGCGCACCAGACGCAGCGCTGCTTCGCGCGCCTCAACGACGCGTGGCGCACCCAGTTTCCTGACGCCACTGAGCTGCCGCGCTGGGCTGATCTGGAAAAGAGGGGTGTTGATATCTGGGCTCTAGACTTTGATGCTATTCTCACTGCCATGTATGCAATGTCTATTAGTGGAGAGGGTGCTCAGTACTTGCGTGTTCCGCCCGACCCGGGCATTCAGGCCAGCCCAGCTGCTGCTCTAGGTGCTAGTGTGTCTGCTCCCACAGGTCCTGCTGCAGCAGCTGCCCTAGGTACTAGTGCGTCTGTGCCCCCTGGTACTGAGTCGACTGCAGCACTGCACACCTTCACACTGGACTCAGGTGCTTCTCGCTCTTTCTTTCGTGACCGCACTGTCCTTGAGCCACTAGCTCGGCCGGTTGCTGTCTCTCTTGCTGACCCCTCAGGGGGTCCGGTCATTGCGACCTCCTCCACTACACTTCCGTGTCCAGCGGTTCCGTCCGGCACGCTCTCAGGTCTCTACCTCCCCTCGTTCTCTACGAACTTGGTGGCGGGCTGTGCTCTGCAGGACGGGGGTGTTCACCAGTTCACCCCTGCCTACGAGCGTGTGACACATTGCACGTGTGCTCGGACGGGCCGCCACCTGGCTACTTTCACTCGGGAGCCGGGGTCGGACCTGTACACACTGACCACTGAGTCCCCTCAGGTAGCTGCGTCTGCGTCTGCGTCTGCGTCAGGTCAGCTGTCCGCCCCCTGCTCATGTCGCTCTCTGGCGCATGAGACTGTCCTCTGGCACCACCGCCTTGGTCACCCGTCTGTGCAGCGCCTTCGGGCCATGCACAAACGGGACCTTGTTGCTGGTCTTCCCAGGGTGCTCCCTCCCCTTCCCGACTCCCCTGCTCCTGACTGCATTCCCTGTGTCGAGGGGCGGCAGCGCGCCGCTCCTCACTCCTCCTCCTTTCCCCCGACGACTGCTCCCTTGCAGACGCTCCACCTGGACGTGTGGGGCCCAGCCCGCGTCCGTGGTCAGGGTCAGGAGAGGTACTTCCTGATAGTTGTTGACGACTACTCGCGCTACACCACGGTCTTCCCCTTGCGCGCCAAGGGTGACGTCCCTGGTGTTTTGATCCCCTGGATCAGCCGAGCCCGTCTCCAGCTAGGCAAGCGCTTTCACTCGGACTTTCCTGTCCTGCGCTTGCACTCTGACAGAGGTGGTGAGTTCGCCTCCGACCTCTTGGCAGCCTACTGTGCTGAGCACGGCATTGAGCAGTCGTTCACGCTTCCGGCCTCTCCACAGCAGAATGGGGTCGCTGAGCGCCGCATTGGCTTGGTCATGGAGGTCGCTCGTACCTCCCTGACCCATGCGGCTGCTCCCCACTTTCTGTGGCCGTTTGCGGTCCGGTACGCAGCGCATCAGCTCAACCTCTGGCCCCGTGTCTCCTTGTCGGAGACTTCCCCGACTCTACGGTGGACGGGAGAGGTTGGCGATGCGTCGCGTTTCCGGGTCTGGGGATCTCGAGCTTTTGTCCGCGACACGTCCGCGGACAAGCTCTCGCGTCGCGCTGTTCCCTGTGTCTTTCTTGGCTTTGTTCCCGACGCGCCTGGATGGCAGTTTTACCACGTCACCTCGCGCCGGGTTCTGGCCTCTCAGGACGTCACTTTTGACGAGTCCGTCCCCTTCTACCGCCTCTTCCCCTACCGCACTGCCCCGCTCCCCCCCCCGCCTCTCTTCCTCGCTCCAGGTGCTGAGGTACCAGACCCCCTCCCCCCTCAGGGTGCCGCTCCCTCAGGTGTGTCCCAGGTAGACCCGGGTGAGCCTGTCGAGGTAGCTGTTGACTCGCGTCCTGCGTCTGGGGGTGCTGAGCCTGGGAGTGCTGCGTCTGAGGGTGCGGAGCCTGGGGGTGCTGAGCCTGGAGGTGCGGAGCCTGGGGGTGCTGAGCCTGGAGGTGCGGAGCCTGGAGGTGCGGAGCCTGGAGGTGCGGAGCCTGGAGGTACTGAGCCTGGGGGTGCTGAGTCTGGACGTGCTGAGTCTGGGGGTGCTGAGTCTGGGGGTGCTGAGTCTGGGGGTGCTGAGCCTGAGCGTGCTCCACCTGGAGGAGCCCTCTCCTCCCAGCAGCTGCAGGAGAGGTACCTCGAGTACTGCCGCCTCCGGAGAGGTGCTTCTGGAGCTCGTCCCGGTACTTCCCCTCCTACCCAGGAGCTCCCCCCCATTCAGGTGATCCGCGAGTGGTACACACGGCGCTGCAGTCTTCGGAGTGGTGCTCCTGGTGCTGCGGACCCGAGCGGTGGCGCTGTGTCTGGTGCTGAGGACCCGGACGCTGGAGCTGCTGCTGGTGCTGAGGACCCGGGGGCTGGAGCTGCTGCTGGTGCTGAGGACCCGGGCGTTGGAGCTGCTGCTGGTGCTGAGGACCCGACCGGTGGCGCTGCTGCTGGTGCTGAGGACCTGACCGGTGGCCCTGCTGCTGGTGCTGAGGACCCGGGCGTTGGAGCTGCTGCTGGTGCTGAGGACCCGACCGGTGGCGCTGCTGCTGGTGCTGAGGACTCGGGCGTTGGAGCTCCTACTGGTGCTGAGGACCTGGGCGTTGGAGCTGCTGCTGGTGCTGAGGACTCGGGCGTTGGGGCTGCCACTGGTGTCCCTGCTGCTTCTGGAGACGCTGCGCGGCCGCGACCGTACTTCGTACCGCTCCTTCAGCAGGTTCTTGGTCAGGCTCCTCCTCCTAGTCCTCCTCCCTCCGTCGAGTGTCCTCTGCCTGTCCAGCCGCAGTCACAGTTACCGCCTGCCTCGCCTCTCCCTGCTCCCTCTCCTTACGCTGGTCCCACAGGAGGTCTTACAGAGCGTCGTGAGCCTGAGTCTCGTCCTGCGTCGCCTGTTCGTACTGCTCGCACTGGTCGTCGTACTGCTCCTCCTGTCCCTGGCACTCACTACATGACTCTGCGTCCCTCCACTGCTCCGCAGCGTGTCCCGCTGCCGTCTCCTCCTGCGTCCTCTCTTCCTACTCTTCCTGACCCGGAGTCTGACTCCCGTCGTGCTGCCAGTCCCACTGTTACGCGTCTCCTCGCTACAGTTGTCACTGACCCGACCTTTGAGTCCTCTGCTGCGTCTGCTCTGGTCGCTGAGTTGGTTGACTTTGCTGCTCGCTGTCGCCTAGACTACGCTGCCAGCCTTGTCGCTGAGTCTGAGTCTGCGTCTGCCTGTCCTCCGTCCGTCGGGGGTGAGTGTGCCCTCGGCACGGACGTCCTTGAGGACAGACAGGAGGAGTTCCACTGCCTTGCTGCTGCTTTGCCCCGTCTCGTG